CACGGGGCGGAACCTATCGTCACGTAAACCTGTTGTTCAGTAATGGAAATCGGTAACCCAAGTCCACCACGACTTTGAGTGGCGAAACACATAAGGCCGCATCAGGATAGACGCGCTATCTATCACCATCATTGAAACCATAGCTTTTCTGAAAGTATATCTGTGTTGCTGTCGTAACTGATGCATTTCCTATATCATCAACACAAAAAGAAGACAAATATCTCGAGATATTAACATTTCGTTTAATCTTCTCAATCACTCAGACTTACAACAAACCACTATTACGTAATCACAATGCTAATTTTTTGGCGATTAGTGAAACACTGCTTATTCGATTATATCACCCGACCTTATGCGCACAAAAGTTTTTGATACAATCAATCCACTTACCGTGTGGATTTAATCTTCTAAATCGAAATTTAATAATCTTTGTATGGTTGGACACGTTCGTTCGCCATAGTCGAATAAACCCATGTTATATACATATATGTGCCTGTTTGTTTTAAGTCCGGTTTAATATCACACCTAACCTATCACCACCCCAAGTCCCGGGGCTTAGGATAGCGGTTTTCATCACTGGACGAAATGTTAACATCTCGCCACGCATGTCTTCTTTCTGTATTGATGAAATGAATGAGGGGGGACTCAATTCTTCACATTTCCCATGCTCCATTCGGTTCCATCTGTCTTCCAGATTGCCTTTTGGCTTATTGAGAAAAACTTCCGTGTCCTTATTGCTGCCTGTGATACTTTTCGTTCGGGTGCGGTGGAACAGTTGCGCACACACGTACACAAATTGAACTACATTCATCCAGCCGAACAGCATGGAGGCCAAGTCATGGTCGAACTGTACGAGCAAGGCTACGGCCGTGATGCTGCCTCGATCGCGCGCTCAGCCATTAATTACGGTACGTTCCGGTTCGCGAATCTCTGCTTGACTTAAATTGGTCATCCACGTTTCGATTAGGATTCACTCATCTGTGCGGTAGTTGTGTAAGCGTTTGGCACAGTCATTTGAGTATTTCACGCCAACTCGCATTGGTTCACTCATTTTTTGGATTATCTTTCTTCTCCGGTTCGAGCATCTTTTTTACTTCATTTTTATTTATTTATTGAATATACAAATGTAGTCAACTTTCAGGAAGGGGGCGGCGGCCATACAAAGACTGCCTGGGGAAAATACAGAAACAGAGAAGACTGGCGGTGATGGAGCGGTTCACAAGTTGGTAACCTAACCACTTGGCCACCATAGCCATGCGTTATAGCACGCATACACAGTGAAAACATGTTCGGTTTTACGTCTCACTAAATTCCGTCGGTAGCTGAGCTCTTGGCTGGTTTCTAACCCCGGTCAGCTCGGTGTTATAGTACTCAGAAATCGTGCATTGCTTCAAATTGACACATGGAAATCGATTTTTGGACACTGAAACGTAACTATCGTATCGTTATTTTTCCTAATCGATGTGTTGTGCATTTACTGTGTGTGTGTGTGCGCGCGCATGGTGTTGTAAATGATGATTGGACACCGACTATGTTAATATAATGTGCACACGTCTAAGTCCAAACTGTGTTCCAAATAAATCACGGTACAATAATCCCTGTAACACAGGGAAAAAGGCCGTAGTTTGCGCCTGGGCGTGTTACTGTACATGAGTTTTCTCTGTGAGAAAATGCACAACCGGAGCCTTTAACTAGACAAAGTCTAACCCTCAAGGCAGCTGGGCGGTTTGCGAAAACCGTAATCCCTTAGGGGGAGCGTGTTCAGTTCATCAGGTCATGCGCCCTGTTTGGACAAACCGGTGACCACAACCGCCAGTGTCAGATGCCGGAGAGCAAAGCGTGAGGACTGAGTTGAATCGGAAGAAAAGACACCGAGTGTCGTAAACATTGTTGCTCGTCCATGTACTCAAAACCCGTGCAGCCGAAATCTTCATGAATTCTCTATTTTCATCCTGACACTGATTTAAACATTCCAATCCTTCATCTTACTCATTCATCCAAATGGGAAGTCATGAGACAGCAACCCAAAACCGGTGCGCGAAAGCGCATGGTTAATGGTTGCAAAAACTGAAACTGTAAATTTCGGAGGCTCTAAATTTGAGCGTTTGTAAACCGCGCACAACTGTGGTTCCAAACAGTGGTTGTAGAATAGCTGCACAGCCGCATTCCCCGCTTTGCTCGCTTCTGATACGATAGTTGCGCAACGCTTCCTTTCCCCACCCCTTTGGTTTATGTTTCATGTGATATAATTCGATTGCCCTTGATGCTCTCCTTAGATAGATAGATAGTTGCGTGTAACAGTTTCATATATCTTTGACCTATTTCCTGATCAGAAACAGGACTCCATGTTGTGTGTATGTGTTGCAGAATGTTTTATTGCGCGATTGGCGTTTCGTAATTGGTCCGTATAGGATCTTGGTTTGACCAATCCAACAACGACGAGGTGATTAATACAACGGGCTTCATAGATCCCAGCAAGTTGTTTGTCGGTCGTGATTGTTGCACTGTGTATTTTAGACAAGAATTNGAATTCATGTCGTGAACACTTCCTAAACAATTGAATTTCAACATCGAGTATCTTGTGTGCTTATCTCAGGCTGATTTCACTTCATTTGCACACGCTGGAAACTGCTACCAGTACGATTAGTTTATTGTGCTCTGTATTCACGACTATCCGAAGTGTGTGTGTGTTCCCATCCAATTGGAATTCTGACGAGAAGATTGTGGAATGNNNNAATCTGCACCCACTTGATAATTGCGACCACTTTTCTCCTTGTCTTTTTGTCTAGACCACAACTGTGTCTAACCGTAAGGTATCTGGATCCATATTTCACCTACTTCTAATCGGTTCTTAAAATGGAATTGTTTTTTATTCATACCCTATTTTTGACGATGGTCACAAATGGACTGGTATGATGGTTGATGTCCACTTTTTCACGATCTTAGTGACGAATGTTGGCTGTCACGGAAAAAAGTCGCTTTCTCTCTGTGTTCATCTGCAACATTGCTGTCTTCTAGTTTCTCCCCTCCCGTTCCTTGTTAAACTATCAAAACTCTCGTTTATAAATCCAATTGAAAAATTCTCTCAATCATTGAGCGTAGAACAAGAGTCCGGTCTCACGTGTAAACGGGTTGATTGTTTACAAAATATCTGACAAACACGGACGAACCACGTTGATCAAACCTTTGATTAAGGTGTTTCCATTGTTTGACTGGTGGTNGTAGGTAGCACAACATGTCACAAATAAAACCGTTCATGCATGCTAAAAGCATATCAGTTAGAATTAAACGACTCCGAGTTTTCCGACACATGTCGCGTGAGTCTGTTTGTCCCCTAAGCCGAATGGCCTCAACTCAACAGTGCAAATTGGTTCCCAAGAATTGAGAGGTGGTGAATATTTGAATTAGCCCGTTGGGTTGGTGATGTTGGATCTGGGTTTTACTCCTTGGGAGATCGTTAATTCCCCACTATTTGACTGCATTCAAATGCGATGCTCACGGGTAAGGGTTTGAAGTCCCAGCCCGAAAGTTCGTGGTTCGAGTTCTGACAGGGACATAAAAAGAGTATACACTGCTGACGAGTCCCAAACAGGAAGAGTCAGTTGTCCAGTGCTCTCCTTGTCTGTTATCACAAACATTTGTATCGCATTTAAATCGTTTTCAAGACAATTGAAAGCTTGTATGTAATTCGCTAAAGCTTCAATATAAATAGTACAATACAAAAGGGTTTTTTATTCATTCTGCCGTGTTGGTGGTGGTGGCGCAGTGGTCTAGTCGCTGTCACCGGCGTGCTCTGGACCCTTTGTTCCGAGGTTCGAGCCCCGCCGCCCGACTTTGGTGGTAGGCAGCTCTGCTGTCGTCCGGTTCAATACCACGTCTAACCTATCGGGGCCTTATGTGGTTCGCCACTCCAAGTTCCGGGGCTTAGGTTGCCGATTTCAACCACTGAACAGCAGGTCCTCGTGACTATGGGGTTCGCCCCGTCTACTGTTCATCACACCTGGGTGTGTAATAAAAAAAAGTTCCAGTCTGATCCCTCACAGCCGCCCCCAGTCATGTTTCTCTATTAGGATCCTGTATTTAAATGCCCGATCCACAACGAGGCGTGAAATGTACCCCAACCATTGCATTTGGTGCACGATCACGAGCACCCCGTCCGTATTGCACACTCAACCTCCACCGTGCTCACTGGATCGATCCACCAAACTAGTATAATGTGGTGGAGCTCTCTCTGGTCTCGGTTATCATGAGTATGCAGCAAGTTCTCGTGCTTTTGTTACTACCCTCTCTGTTGTTCAGCACACAATGGCGTGTAGTGAGAACCGGCCAGATTTTCACAAATCTCCACTCTTCAACCGGTGATATGTTCAAATCTGTAGTGAATTGACTAATCCACTACGATATACACTTTATCCTCCGCGTGCAAGCCAAAGCTATGCCAGTGAATACCCAATACAACTCTTAGGCCCCACATGATAATGAGTTAACTACCGTCTGCTTGTCAACATGGCTATAGCCCCAGAAATTTACTTTTTTCCCTTCTCACATCAGTAAAAATTTCCTTCTACAAGAAGGTGATGAATGAGACTTGTCCGGTAGAAGCTATCAATGCATTTATATTATTACTATTATCAGGTATTTTGGAAGGGCACTTTTTACCGAAACATCTGTCCTCCGAAAGCCTCCGTATGATTGGGAATGGATGTCTTGGGTTGCGGTTGGTCACTTTTCTCTTGCACCAAGCGTTCCAAATAGCTTCTGTTGAGGAAGCTCCACTCACTACCTTCTCCTGAGGCGGTGTTTTCTCGCAGCAAAGTGATAGGATGAAAAGCTGATTTCCGGGGCTATTACCGGGTCGTTAAACCACTGGAAGTTCACCTTGGAGAGTTGGCTGAAAAACCCTGATTCCAAATCAACGAATAGGCGTACGAACCACTGATTATCGGTTCGATTGGGCATCTCATTGGATTATGATTTTCGAACTACTTTGACTAGCCAAAGGCTCCTGTTGTGAACTCCCTAAGAAAATTCATCTGGTTTGTCCTGGGCAATCTAGTAGTATCGCTCCCACAGGCAAATGATGGATCTTATTCTTTGTTTGAAGATTATTCTACCGTGATTTAATTGGCACAGTCCGAACTCCGATGCGAGTGAAAATAAAATCCAAAATCATCCACTCTCGAGCGTACCGGACGTTGATCCACGATCCGCTTATTCTAATCATACTATAAAGTATAAATGAGCTCCTTTTCTCTTGGTTTTATAGTTTTGCCCGGAATCGTGGACTTTATGCAGTTCTTTTCTGTTGTTCTTTCCCGACTGTATGAAATTTCGATTTCCGAACGTGGTCTGACCCAGTTATTTTTGCCGCGCAATCTCTTTCGCTTACCGTTCGTTTCTGCAGCTCGTGATCGTCATTTGGATGTTGTTCTGGTCGATACAGCCGGTCGTATGCAAGACAATGAACCATTGATGCGTGCGTTGGCCTCGGTACGCATGTCGTTTGCTTTTGCGTTCAGGTTCCCCCTCACCCCCTTTTTGTTTTATGTGGACTCCGTTCAGTGTGTTGTTATTTGCTACCAGACACTAGATGCTATATCTGATAGTATATCAATTTAGTCAAATGTATCTTGTTCACCTGTTGGCTGTGCTCAAAGAGAACCGGACAAGATCGACTTCCTCGGTAATGCCTTAATTTTATTCACTTATCTCACTCCGTCATTGTACTTTCTGTCATTTCTGAATGTCTGTGAATCAAAATATACATACATGTATCGTTTCGGGAAAACACATTGACACCACAATATACTCTCAGCTGGACACTTCCTTTTAGCTATGAATGACGAGAGATTATTCCGCTGGTAAAGATGGCATCACGTAGTGCGTAACGATTCCTCCGTTCCCCATGCATTCATTTGTTTTTCAGTTTGTAGTTATATCGTGTCTACTTACAAGTAGTTCAATTGCAAACAGTAATTAAATCGGTACACAAGACAATAACAACAGCTGATTCGTATGTGGTGTTTCCTTTTTTAATTATTCGTTTCAGCTCATTCATCTTAATCAACCTGATCTCGTTCTGTTTGTCGGGGAGGCTCTGGTTGGAAATGAAGCAGTGGATCAGTTGGTCAAATTCAACCAATCCCTGGCCGATCACAGTCACGCCAGTAAACCGCGTACTATAGATGGCATTGTGTTGACTAAATTCGATACGATCGATGACAAGGTAAGTGAGTCGCATTCCAAGCGATTTCTTCGCCTGTATCTAAGGTGAACTATGCAATGATGTAAACTACTTAAAATTCAATGGCGGCCTTGATAATCCCGTCCAGCATTCATCTTTGTTTGTAGACAGCTTTACCTTCTACTTTTTTTTTATTACACACTAGTGAATGAGGAATAGCAGACGAGTTAAACCCCATAGTCACGAAGATCTACTGTTCAATAATGTTAACCAGAAACTTAAGCTTCGGAAATAGGAGTGGCGAACCACATAAGGCCACTCTAGATCAGGCGTGGTATAGAACCGGGCGACAACAAAGCTGTCTATCACTAAAGTTGGGTGGTGGTGGCGGGGTTCGAACCTCGGACGACAGGGTCCAAAGTACACCGATTGCATTGAACACTGCGTCACCACCACCGCTGTTCTCGGATGCTCTCTATGAGGACATTCTCGTACTTGCATGGTCTTC